GCTGCAGCACCAATCAGCAGACCAAACAGCGTGCCTTTTTCCAACCAATCAGAAGTGGCATCTCAAAGCTTTGGCAAGGAAACTTGTAGTACAGTTACCCCATCTACTCAAACGTTTTAAACAAAACATTTTTCTTGTTTGTAATCTAGGTCTAAAGTTATGGAATTGGAAATATATATGCTGGAAGAGACGGGAAGGGATATGCGTTCCCCACACAAAACAAAGATTAAAATGCTTTACAAATTCATTTGGTTAGAAACAGATGACGGAGCTGAGAGTCAAGTCGATCGAATGCTTCGCTGTTGCATCGTGTTTCATAAAAGCAAGCCAAAGGATTTCTTTCTGTAATTCTAATATCTCTCTTTTTCCAGTTGCCTTCATTAGGGAGAACAACTATCCACGCTGAATTACTGCATTAAGCAGTGGAAGACAGTCACGGTACTTTATTAGTTAGAAATGTCCACGGGGAGTTCATTTCCTTTCAGAGGAGCTTAAAGGTCGATGGAGAACCGCCAGCTCGTTCTCTCTGAAAAAGCATGTTTTGCTTGTGGCTGCAAAGGTTTTTTTGGAGTCCTCTAATGTGTAACCAGACCTCGAGAACACAGAGAGAGAGAAAGTGCATGAAGAATAGCTGCAGCTGCAGTTCAATAATGGATGCTTAAAAAGCTGAGGCCCTTAGTTTACCCCGGCCCTGTCTCTTACCGAGTTGTGCGTCTTAGCTGTGATCGTCCTGACAGCATCCGAGTCCCAGATGACAAGGTCACTGTCAGAGCCCACAGCAATCCGGCCCTTCCGGGGGTACAGATTGAGGATCTTGGCCGCGTTGGTGCTCGTCACAGCGACAAACATGTTCTCGTCCATTTTGCCAGTGACCTGGGTGAAGGGAGCAAACGCAAACTTAATTAACAACAAGGGTGAATTAAATGCGGCCACAGAGCATGATTCAGTGTGACTGTGCTTGACACTGCTGGAATTTCTCTCATAATGTGGCTTTTGAACTTTCAAACATTGGCCTCTCAGTGCAGGGAAGCTCGCTAAAACTACAGCTGCCTCAGTATCTCGGAGAACATCGTCTCCACTTTCAGAATGAAAACGGAATCACGGTTCCTCACAATCTCCACAGCTGTCCAGAACAAGTCTGCTTTTGTTTCCTCATCTGAGAGAGAGAACAACAAGGGAGGAAACAGTGACACAGTGAGAGTGACCAAGAGGAAGGGACATGGAACAGAGAGAGAGGAAACAGAGAGTGAACAAGAGGAAGGAAATGGAGAGAGTGAACATGAAGGTGTGGGAGGAAGATACTGTTAGTACACTGAACAGCCAAGAGAAAGAATGGATAACCAACATAATGAATGATGAAAGCAGATTAAGAAGGAATAAGAAGAGAAATTGTGGTGTGATAGAGGTCAGAAAGACAGAATTAACAAAACAAACACAGGGAGAAAAAACAGAGATAAAGAATGGAAGACAGAAATAAATAAAAGGCACGCATTGCCAAGCAGCACTGTCCCATTCTCACCACTGCCTTGTCCCAGATCAGTGCCATCCTCTCCTCCACACCGTTCACCCCCTCCGGGATCTGGGTGAAGTCGTCCTTTCCAATGGCTTTCTGGGCCACGCTGAAGGTGCAATGGGCGCTTCCTGTCACGCTCAGATCACCGCTGAGGAAACAGGAAGAGACGGCACTCAGCAAATTTCCGTAGCGACAATCGACACTCAACGGCCCATTGTGGACATTAAAAAAAAAAAAAAAAAAAAAGAAAAACAGAAAATGAAAGAGTCAGCGCAACGGACTGCGTCTGAAACCCGATGAGGCGATTACGTGGCACCGCCATTACATCAGCAAAGAGATGAGCATGGGTAGCCTAGCTGCGAGGGCTTTCAGGCTCCAGCTGGGCTTCGGTGAAAAAGTGAATCGATGGCAATTTGACCGTGCCTCGGTACCTCACCGCCTGACCCAGATCGACCCTTACCGTCTGAAACACACAGGAAAATTGTTTCCAGAAGCGCAGGCTACGAGCCGCCTCGGTGCAATCAGAAGGGGTGCTTTAGTGGGACTGTTTGGGAAGCGCAGGCTAATTCCGTAATGATTCCTTGAAGCCAAACTGGAAAGTGAAGTGGAGGATAGCGCTACAAAGCTCGGATAAAGCAGATAAATGACAACGGAGAGTGCGCCAAGGTCTCCTCTTACGGGTTATTGATGCTTTCCTACCCTGCGACTGTTTTAACTTTCGCTGCAGAAACACAGAGCAGTCCGAGCGTAAGAGGACATGCATCATCCAGCAGAGGCTTTTCCAGGCCTACACACAACTCAATGCAACCGAGCAGAGGAAAAACATATGTATCCATGTGACTTACTTTAGTGGAAAAAGGCCCAGATTCAACCTAACCTAGATGTGCTTTGGGCTTTAGTTTGACTATCTAATGTAAACTATTTCCAAGTTTTACTATATTTTCTTATTTCTTTTTTCTTGCGCAAAATTGACTTTGTTTAGCTTTTTGGCAATACTGACAATGCAAACACATGCAATGTTTTGTTATGATGAACACTAATAATTGCTTAATATTAATATTTCAATGTAAGGAAAAAGCACACGTTGAACTGGATTGCAGGCTTGAGGCTGAGAAATGTGACGTTATTGTGCGATGCAGACGACAGGGGGTGCTCTTTACCTGGCCAATAAGGTATTCAGGTAGTCTGGGGTGGTGGGATCTGGACTAAGCGGTGGTGATGTCACAAAGGAAGCTGCCTTGGCCCAGTTCTTACTCCAGTAGTGCGTCCCATCTGTCCCGAGACTGGCTGTGATTGGCTCACCAAACACAACATTACCTGGGGAACATGAAAACGCCCAACTGAGACCACATCAAAGCCTCACTGTGTCAATCCCAGCACAACTTCGAATATACGTTAAAGCCAGTTTCCAGTATCAAATCTCTGGAAGCGTTCTCGCATTGATTTGACTTCAACATGAACAAATGCATTTATAAATAAGGCATCTAATTTAGCTAAAAGGCCTCGCTAGTCAATGCGCACATGCTAATTGGCCCAGTTTACTCCCCTGCTCTGCATTAAGTGTATTTCCTAATAATATTTGCATGGCCCGCCTAAGCCCGCTGTGACATGACAAATGGAACGCCGGGGCCGAGGAAGACAGCCAGGATGTGATGGAATCAAGGGCCCCCTGACAAGCTGCCTGAGCCAAGTGACTCCATTATTCAGGAATGCCTCTGTCATGCGGACGAGGAACACGTTTTTTCACTAATTTCCCCAAAAAAAAAAAAAAAAAAAAAAAAAGGCAGGTCATCTTTTGTGGCTCGTCGTTTACGAGGAGCCTGCTTTCCATCAGTGGATTAAACCGGGCTTGATAATTGTCAAACATATTTAGGGACAGCAAATCGGGATGGGGATCTCGGTACAGTAAGTGCAGGATTCTTCTGAAAAGCAGTTCTCTTCTTTTTTTTCAGTGCCGTCTGCCAGACCAGACCGTGTCGTGTAAACCTGCCCCACGGAAAGAAGGACTGAATCATCATATAAGGGCATAGGAGCATTCCTATGGGGTGAACGCCGGGCTAGGCGGCGCGGCCTGGCTGTGGGATGGACCTGCAGGCCTACCTTTTTTCCTGGCCTGGGAGATGATGTCGCCCGCGCTCTTGCTCATGACCTTGGTCACGTACAGGGGGCAGTTGGTCTGGCTGGCGATGGTGATGGCTCGGAACACCGCCTCAGCCTCGAGCTGTATGTGCGAGAAAAAACGGAAACATCAACACACACATACAGGACAGGACACCGACCTGGCACAGACTGTCTGGGTCAATTGCTGGCAACAAAAATGCCAACCCCCCCCCCCCCAACCCACCCCTCCCTCCTCCTTCCCCACACCCAGCAGCTAACACACAGTCAGGGGCAGTGGAGGGTCATGCAGGACAAATTGTTACAACGTCCTCCCCCTTCCACACCAGGATCCTGGAAACAATCACAGTCGCACACGCGCCAGGACTGATACTGTGGTCCAGTTGGAGAAATGTCCTTCTGTTCACTCACTTGTCATCCCCTTCCCAGACGGGACTCAGCACCTAAGAATAGTGTTACGGGCTGGGCTATGCTGGCACAGGAAAGCGGTGCTGCTGGTGGGGGCTGGGGAGGGGGGGTGTGATTGCACCCACAATGGGGGCGGGCTTAGGCAAAGACAGCAGAACTTGTCCTCACCTCCTCTGGCCTGCTCAGGACATGACCCTCGGGCCCAGTGATTCCCATCTCCAGCATCCGTGCTTGTTCCTGTGGGACAGATGCGTTGGGCCCGCTTTACATCGCAGATGCTCACACAAGCAGAAGAAGCAAGCAGCATTTTTATAATTCTTCCCACTTCAAAATCCCAAAAGGATGTATCACTAATAATATTACAACCAAAGACAGACACCCTTATCTAGAACAACTGAAATGACACAGGCTGTATTTTACACATTTTATTTTACACAGCTGGGCATCTATTAAGTATCTCATTTTAAATACCGTAGTCAGTGGATAACCTGAACTTTCCAAATTGTACCTGTATCTAGGCTACACCCCTAAACCAAAGCAGTGCTTCTGTTCTCTTCATGACTGTTCTCAACAGTAAAGCAGTAACACTCCACTAGGGAATCACACCTGTGTCGGCCTGGTTTCATAACCACTAGGTCACACTTCCATCATTGTATCTGATTTATTACTGCTGCAGTTAGTGCTACAAGCTTGGCGAAGGAGACAGCAGGGAGAAGTACGGCACCTCGGCAATGATCTCTCCGTTCTCTGCATGGACCTGCACGATGCCTCCCAGCTCCCCCAGGAAAGTGAAGATCTCATACAGCTGAAACATTACATTACAATACTGTCATTTAGCAGACACTCTTATCCAGAGCGACTTACATATGTTACAATTTTTACATGTTATCCATTTATAAAGCTGGATATTTACTGAGGCAACTGCGGGTTAAGTACCTTGCCCAAGGGTACAACAGCAGTGCTCCAGCAGGGAACTGAACCAGCAACCTTTTGGTCATAAGCCCTGCACCTTACCACTAGGCTATGCTGGCGCCCCTACACACGTTGCACACCACTGACATCAGCACACGTGGCCAACACGCTCGGTATGGATGACGTAATGGCTGCATTCACTTTCAATTCTCCCAAGAGCGAAAAGCCGAAGGGAAAAAAAAATAACCGAAGCTATAATAAACTTCAGTTACCGTACTAGGCGTGTACCAAAAGTGGCAGGGCGAATGGGGCGAATTTTCAGGAGGATTTTTTGAGAATCTTAAGCTTCCTCGCAGTGCTCACTTGAGGGTGCGGCAGACCTTGGTGCTGAGACAGAGAGGTTTTTTGGGCTGAAGACGGCTGGTCAGATCTAGTCTGACAGCCAAAGTGCACAGAGTGAGGGGAGGTGGCAGCACATCCTCACAGCGGTAACCGACTGTGACAGTGTGTGAAGCCGTGTCAGCATACCTCACTGTTACTCATCTGGTACAGGTCCTTGTATGCCATGTAGACCTGGAAAGAATTCACTCCTGCAGAGACAGAGAGAGAGAGGGGGACAGTGAGGGGGACAGAGACAGATAGAGAGTGAGACGGAGATAGACAGCAAGAGGAAGAGTGAGGGAGAGAGAGACAGAGATGGGGAGTGACGGGGAGAGAGACAGCAAGAGGAAGAGTGAAGTAGAGAGACAGAGAGAGGGACAGGGAGGAGGAGGAGAGACAAAGAGGGAATAAGATGGAAAGAGGGGGAGAAAGGGAGAGAAGAAAACGCAATGAGAGCAGTGCATGTGATAATTACAGCACTTCATGGAATACAGAGAGGACGTTCCTGCAGATGTTCCAGCGCTGACAATGCATGGAACCACAGTGGTCTCCAGATGAATGCATCCCAGCTGCAATTACCCAGAAGCCTCTGAACACTCGCGGCTTTAGCGAGGAGAACCATCTTCTTTCGTTACCGTCTCCTCCTCTCCATTATCTGCCATGAATCTGCAAATTGTCTATTGCACCCCGCCCTTATGCACGATATGCGGCTGCTCGCAGGCCACTAGAAGTGGAGTAATTTTAGTGTGTGCGCTCAGCGTGGAGGAGTCTGGACTCTGGGGATATCTGAGATCAGGACACGGAGTTAACTAAACAGCCTCCCCCAAATGTTTTTAATATCTCATCCCAGCCGCTGCCCTGCAATCCTCTCCCATTGGTCAGAAGACAGATAAAATTATGTCATATTGTTCAGCTAACTCGGAGGCAGGCCATCCCAGCTCTCCCTTTCCTAGGGGAAATCCAAAACAGCTCGTCTATTTTCCGACTCGGGCACGGAATTTAAAAATAGATAACGGTATCAGTTAAGACAATACGTCTCCCAGGAACACTAAACTTCTATCCTGCCTCCTCCTGATGAATTAATTTGGCAGGTCCTCCATTTAAGCAGATTGGCAAAGAGAGGACATGTTGACTCAGCCAGGCTAATGACTTTCCCAGGACTTGGGCCCTCCACAGTTGGGAGACACATCTGCTGCTTCTGGGGGTTAATCCTGTTTGTCCACAGCTGCTCTTCAGCCTAGCGACGACCCAAGGACAGGTCCACTAGGACACCAGCTCCACACCAACACACATGGCACAGATTACAGGATCCCGGGGATTACACACATGCTCAGGGACGCTTCCAAACGCTCTCTGCGTTGCCTTACAGAAGACGCTGCAAAGTGTCATGTTGGATTAGAGACCAATATGGTTTCTAGTTTCATTGTTGTAATAGTTATAATGCGATCTACACACACAGGGAGGTACGTATAAGGGTAAGTGATACATGATTTAAAGAAGCCACTTCCTGCAGGCTGGGAACCCATCACTACTGCAGATAAGATTTGCATGGCTGCACTTGAAAAAAAAGAGTATTTTTTCCCCTTTATGTGACAGGATGCAGTTTCCATTGCTAACATTATCTGAGCACAGCCAGCTGGCCACATACCCAAAACCGTGCAAATTTACACGTAGCATTCCTGTAATGCACATTCTGCTCCACGTGGCAAATCGATCAATCGCATAAATAAGCCACCCATCAATCACTTCTATCATCCAATCAGAAGGACAGCAGGGATCCCAGCCTGTGGGAACTGGTGTACGTCATCAGATTATATAGCTACAGCCATTTCTAATTCAGTACGATGTCATCTGTTTAATTATTAATACATTGGTTGAACTTAATGGTGCATTATAATGGTGTATTTATATATGCAACTATAACTGATACATAAAGCCAGCCCCTCCCCTCAGCCATCCCTCGAACCCGCAGCACTGCAGGCTCTGTCATACCTTTCTCCTTGATCAGGGTCTCCACCTCCTGCTTGACGCTGTCGTTCCAGTGAGTGATGTCCACGTGCAGGGAGTAGTCACAGCAGGCCTTCTCGTCCGCCCACTCCCTCCAGCGATCGAAGGCTTCGATCAGGCTGCTGCCCGGGTCGGGGATCACATGGTCCACTGCAGGGGGGGAAAGCAGGCAGGAGTCACGCTCCGCTCCGTGCGCAGGGTGCCACTAGCGCCCCCTATCTGTGCCACTCACAACAGCACCCCTGTGGTGGAACTGTAATGCAACTGTAATCCCTCTTTCTCTCTCACACGCATCCGATTCACTGTGAATTAACCTCCCTCCTCCCAGAATGTTGTTGATACACAATCTAATTAACGGCTGTGTTACTGATAGCACAGAGATGCCGAGCTGTTGGACGCTCCTTGGCTGATCTCGTTCCCACAGGTCTGGGCATACAGTGTGCAGTACACTGTGGAGGCGCCTCAGACAGGGAGATGCTATCATTCAGACCTCGAGGTGAGACGCAGGTCACACAAAGAGCCTGTGGTCTTTGAGAGACATCTTGGCTGGGCTGCCAGACTCGAGCCCCTCCTGGTTTTACTCCCCGCTTGGTGACCTACATGCTGCTCTGGAGTCAGTCTCCGCATTCAGCTCTCATTCAAGGGGAGCAGAGGCTCAGATCCTTGCGCCAACTGTATGAATCACCATCCAGACAGGCAATTAAGGCCACCCCCAATCTCCACAGATAAAATGGTTTATGTGAATGGGAGCCAAGTCCGAGCAGAGCTGTCCTGTAATAAACCGACACGCCCTCGCAAGCGATGGCACACAACCCCCGTCCAGAGGAGCGAGGCGTGTCGGCTGGATTTCGTCAGTAAAAACCCTGACGCTTCGCCCACCTGAATGGACAGACACACCACGACAGTGATAGGGGCGGCAGTGTAGCATAGTGGTTAAGGAGCAGGACTCATTACCAAAAGGTTTTCGGTTCGATTCTCCACTGGGGCACTGCTGCTGTACCCTTGGGCAAGATACTTACCCACAGTTGCCACAGTAAACATCCAGCTGGATAAATGGATAACATTATAAAAAAACTGCAACTGATGTAAGTCACTCTGGATAAGAGCGTCTGCTAAATGCCAGTAATGTAAAAAGTAATGTAATAATAGTTATAGTCCCTCCTCTGGGCCTCTAGAAAGGCCCGCACAGCCTGTGGTTCTTTACCAGTTAATCGCAATGAGACACCGTTACGGCTACCAGCTGTTCCCTGCGTCTGACTCGCCTGTGTGCTGCTCTCTCTTCCACGGGACTTGTGTTTCACTCGGGGGCCTTTGTGTGGTCCCCTGGCTGACCGCCCACTCAGTCCAGTTTGGACCACTCTGCTGTGACAGCCAAAGCTAAAGCATCACGGCATCGCCACCTCCGCATCTAGACCGTGTTTTGTCTAACCTCACACGACAGGATCTCGAGAGTGACAGTTTCCCAGGGTTAAATTTTCACCCGGATCAAATGTCCTCAACCAGAGTACCTGAGAGCTTCTGTTTGCGCTACACTGTTTTGTAGGCCCCTAGCGGCAGAGGTGACAAATTTCCATGTGCTGTGTGATGTCGGCTGCTTAAGAACTGTGGTTTCTGATAAAGGTTCAGGCGGTAGGAAGCTCTTTACCAATCATGGTGGTCCCTCCAGCCAGGGCGGCCTTGGAGCCCTGGGCAAAGTCGTCCACCGTGGTGGTGCCCCGGTAGGGCATCTGGAAGTGGGTGTGGATGTCGATGCCCCCCGGAATCACCATCTTCCCATTGGCCTCAATGATCTTCACCCCGCCTGGGACGATCAGGTTGTCTCCGATTTGCCTTTCCAGACAGGATAGCTCAGTCAATCAAATGTTTTCCTCAAGACATTTTACTAGAGTGCAAAAGATACACACTAAAAAGCTCTCTTCATTAATGGTACCATAAATTTTCCTTCAATGTTTATTATCTTTTATAGCAAGCATGGGGAACTAGCAGACACAAAATGATTCAGCACTTAGGCATCCGTGTGTGAGACATTTGAAACAGATTCACAATTTAGCAGTCAGGTATATCACACTCAAGATACACAGTTTTACGGTTTGTTGAACAATATCCCAAAATAAATTATTTAATTGATAAAAAACAATTCAAATAAACTTGTCTCATCATCCTGCAGTCATCCATCTATTAGTCTACAGCGCTGCATTCCAACTGGTTGGAGTATTGTTCCCTCACAGTCTATATTTTTCCTTGACAGTTTTTCTCCAATGACATAAATAACTAGAAATAACTGAATCTTTTGCCTAGTAAGAGGCAGCCACTGGCATTGAGAGCTGCAATTCAGCAGGGCCTCAGCCATGTGAAACGGTTGTTTTTCAGAGGGCGAATTACAGGCGGCAGCGAAGACAGACGTTGGGGAGCGGTGAAACTCTGCCCTGGTTAATTGGTATGCTGCGTTAATGTCTGTGAGAGGCCGACGCGCCAGGCCTCTGCACGCTCACACGACAAAGCAGAGGATTGACCGATCGAGTGGGAGAGAGAAGGAAAACAACGGCGAGTGGCCTTCCAGGAACGGGCTGGAATGCACAGCGCCACCCGCCTTTCTGACAGTGTGCGTGGGGGTGGGGCGGGGGCGGGGGGGGGGGGGGGGGGGGGGGGCGGCAGGGGGGAGGGGCAGACCCAGGGTGTCAACAGCCCACATCAGACTTCTCTCTGAGCTCACGCTTGCGAATGGGACTTA